AAAAAGGGTATTGGAAGTGAAGTCATGACCAAATGGAAATTAATGCACATATTTGGAATTCTAAATCTGCAATTAGGAAAGCAAAAGAAAAGTTGGAGGTTCAGTTAGGCTTAAACCTCGAAATCTCCCTCTCTGAATCACAATTTCTGGTTAGTAAAAAGCTCAGAGACCTGAGGAGCGAAAACAGCCTGAGGAAAACTTTCTAGTATGAGAAAGGGAAAGGCAGCAGTTCCAGAGAGTCCCATATTTCTCCACTAAGGGCCTCTTTGCTAACTGTACCCCACAGCCTTACTCACTGTCATCCAGTCAGCAGATCTGCCTATAACTAGTGGGCGCCAGTGGAAATAATCTTCCAGTAAGTTATCGTGGCCTGAAAAAAAATCCAATAAAAAGTTAGATTTTCTAAAATTTTTAGTATTTATTTACTGAAGGGAGTGTTTGACATCTCATAGAGCGTGAAGTGGAGAAGTATTAAAGACCCTGAGGCACTGGAAATATGCCTGGCAGTTTCTAGTCAAGCAGCAAGGTTTTGGTCCTCTTTTATTTTTCCCACCTCTCGTTACATTCTTCTATCCTTGAAAATATTGGGGAAGTTACTTTATGATATTATGATACTATTTATTTGCTTCTCAAACTTTATTGTGATTTGGGTGAAAGTTTACAGAGCAAATTCATTTTCCATACAGCAATTCATACACATTTTGTTTCAAGACATTGACTGCAATGCCCATAACGTAACAGCTCTCTTCCCATTTCCTCCATGTAGTTACCTCTTCCCTATGCCCTTCTTTCCTATGCATTCCTGCCCCCTGAGCGATCTCTCTTTGCAAATACTGCCTTTCAGATCTCCCATGATTGATTGATCTAAGGAGTGCCGCTAAAAAACCAAACTCACAGCTGTCAAGTCAAGTCTGACTCATAGCAACCCCTCCTTGGGTTTCCGAGGCAGTATCACTGTGGAAATAGATTGCCCAGTCTTCCTTCCAAGGAGTGGCTGGTGGGTTTGAACTGCCAGCCTTCTGCTTAGCAGTCAAATGCCTTAGGCACTACACCACCAGAGCTCCCTAGGAGTGCCCCTACCTTGTTCAAATGTTCACCATACACATCTATATAGTTGGTTGGAAGCCACAGGAGTGAGTTCAATTCCAGGCCTGACGGGTGACTAAGAGCCATAGTCTCAGGGGTTTCACCAGGCTCTATGAGACCAGTAAGCCTGATCTTTTTTTATTATTTTGAGTTTCATTCCACTTTTTTCTCCCACTCTATCCAGGATCTCCTGTACTTACCTCTTTCCCAGCAGTTGACAGTCGTAACAGGTACCATCTAGTTCTTCTGGTCTCATGGTCATATAGGCTGAGGTTCGCAAGGTCCGCTGGTCCCTTGGACTAATTGTTGCCAGGTGTCTTATGTTTTCTTTATTTTTCTTTGCTCTGGATGAGGAGAGACCAGTTATTATACTAGATGGCCATTTGCAAGCTTTTAAGACCTCAGTTACTATTCACCAAAGTAGGATGTAGAATAATTATTTTGCATAGTGTGTTGTGTCAGTTGAGCCTGATATTTCCCGCGACCATGGTCCTGAGCCAACACGTCCAGCAACTCACTCCCTCGGGGTGGTTGGCTCTGGCTAAGAAGTTATCCTAACTTTGCCCCATTAGTTCTAGTGCAATACTATTTAAATTATTATTATGTCGTGTATATGTATATGTTGTTGCTAGGGACTCAGCAACCCTATGTACAACAGAGTGAAACACTGCCCAGTCCTGAGCCATCCTCACAGTGGGCTTGAGCGCATTGTTACAGCCACTGTGTCAGTCCATCTTGTTGAGGGCCTTCCCCCTTTCTTGCTGACCCTTCTGACAACATAACCAAAGTAGGTGAAACAAAGTCTGGCCGTTCTCACTTCCAAGGAGTGTTCTGACTGCACTTCTTCTAGGACAGATGCTATATATACACATATTCCTATGTAAGGAGCTCTGGTGATGTAGTGGTTAAAGGCATTTGGCTGCTAACCAAAAGGTTGATGGTTCAAACCCACCAGCCACTCCATGGAAGAGAGATGGAGCAGTCTCCTGTAAAGATTTACAGCCTTAGAAACCCAATGAGGGTCACTGTGAGTCATAATTGACTCGATGGCAGTGAGTTTTATTATATATACTCATGATAGTATTATATTATTATCATGATATTTTCCCTTTAAAACACCAATGCCTTCTTTTTCTAGAGCAATAATGAAATTTCACAGTATGAAAATGGAAGAAATCAATAAAATTATTCGTGAGCTTTGGCGAAATACTTATCGTGGACAAGGTAATTAACATGTATCACAGATTTTCTTCCCAAAGCCCTGTCCCCAGCCTCACCCTATATGACTTCTCATCATGACACTATTATCTCCCTGGCTCCCTTTCTGAGCATCTCTTTGAGGTTTTCTAAGAATTCTTGTCTTGGCAACATCTTATAGTAAGAAGAAAATGCAGAATTTCTATTCCAAAGCCTGACAGGACTTGCGTATTTGGCTATGGTGCACATTATGTTTTGCTGATGACATAATAATTTCTACTGACGTGTAGATAGGGATAAGCTGAAATGTGATAAGAAAACCATCTGGAGGAAACTGCTAATAGGGGAACCAAGAAAGGCAGAGGTGAAGCCAAAGGCTGGGCATCTGAGTTGCATCCGGCCAGGCTGCTTCTGCATCCTCTCAGCCAAAGGAGTAGGTTCCATACCAGCCAGTATTTCCTTTCTTATGTCAGGCTCACAAGTTACTCCTGTGCTTGCTTGATAATGTTTTTAAATAAACAAATGGCTATAAAGTACGGGTTCCTCTGAAATCATCTTCTTTCCGTGTCAGATATTGAATACATAGAAATTCGGTCTGATGCTGATGAAAATGTATCAGCTTCTGATAAAAGGCGCAATTACAACTACCGAGTGGTGATGCTAAAGGGAGACACGGCCTTGGATATGCGAGGACGATGTAGTGCTGGACAAAAGGCAAGTATCTCAAGGGCACAGGCAGCCAAACTTGACACCAAGAATTTCAAGAGAGAAGCAAATGTCAGTGCAGTGGAAGCCCCCAGGGCTGCCTGTTCACAGTGGGATGCTCCTTGCAGCACACCTTGCTGCCATGTGAAAGTGAATGAGGCTCAGCCACTATCATTACATTCTCCCAGTGCTAATCATTATTTCATGCTACATGATATAAAGTAGGCTTTTAGGACAGTGGCCTGAAACAATCTCACAGGATAAGCTGAATGTAGAAGAAAGATCTGAAAGATCTTCATTGTTTGACAGCACTCCTTATCAGAATAAGTAGTACTAGATCATCAATTATAAGACACAGCACTATTTCATGTGCTACTGAGCGGGGAGGAAAATGCTGGCAATTGTAATTATAAAAGGCATCCTGATTTCAGAGAGGTCAAAATGTGGAGGAGGGGGGGTTGTTTAGAATCAGTAACACTATTACCAAACCAGGATCCAGACTGAGACATTATAATATATGAGGGTCTGTTGAGAAAGCTGCCCTGTTTTAGGACTGTGCCTCACCCCCCAGCTTAGCTTCTGGGTCTGCAGATAGTCTGAAAGAAGAGTTTGCACAGCCAAAGGCCTTGACACCCACAGCTGCCTTCCTTCTCCCCACTACCACACACATGGACTCAGGTGATGGGTCAGGTCAGCTGAGGCTCTCAGAGGAAAGCTAGTTGGATATGGAACAAGGACCAAAATCAGAAAAAGGAATGAAGTTAAGAAAATCAGACCTGCATCTCTGGGAATAAGGCTGGGTCCTTTCACCCAAGATGCTGCAGATCCTTGAGCTTTTTCTTTTCATATGAGAAGCAAAATATTGCACTTGATATGCTAACACCCCGGACTCCTCATTTTCTTAATAAAATTTTAAAGTTCTAGAAATGGATGTCCACATTACGTGGTTATTTGCATAAATAGTTTTCAGTTTTTGCTTAAAGAATACTCCATGTGTGCATATGTTCTGTTGTCAGCCCGGAGAGCTGATACAGTTTAAGCCATTTGCAGATTATTATCTCAACTCTAAGCTGCAAAAATGATAACTTTATGATCTATCATCAGTTTCCCCTACTTGGCTTTACTGATTTTTAGTAGTAATTTTGAGTGAGAAAATAGAGTTTAAAACATGGTCTCTTCGGATTAAATTACTTTCTAAAGTAAAGCAGATTTCCTTTAGCTACTCTATGTTATAAAAATTAACTAAAAGTAATTGCTTCCTTGGTGTAGGGGGAGAGAACAGACAAATGGTCTGATGGAGGTTGGACAAGAGCTCAGATCAGACTTCACTCTGCCTAACGCTGGCTTTTGCTAAGGCCTTAGAAGCCATCCAATGATTCTGCATTTAAGGGGAGGAAGTGGGGCAGGAGGGTGGCAGCAGTAGGATTCAAAGAAAGGAAGAACATGCCTGTCCCCAAAGAGCCAAGTTGTGGCCCTACTTCTGCAGTCTGCTGGCCTGCCCTGGATGTCAAAGAAAAACTGTAAACTATTCTAAAACCCAAATCACTGATACTTGAACTTACAGATTCAGGGAGAGAGGGAGGCTTACAGCTCATACAAAAGTTGTTTATACTCCCCCAGAAGAGTCCTACACTCTGTGTGAGCCGCAGTGGCTCCAGACAGACTGTGGCAGTAGGTAATTAACCCAACTAAAGCTGGGTTTGAGGGTTTAAGTATTAGATTTTTATTAATCGTGAAACTGTCTGTTTCTTTTAGTTGTTTGGATATCCTACTTAAAAAAAAAAAAAAAAAACTGCTGTCAAATTGATTCCAACTCACAGTGACCCCCATTGGGTTTCCAAGGCTGTAAATCTTTAGGGAAGTAAATTGCCCCATCTCCCTTCCCCGGAGTGGCTGGTGGATGTAAACTGCTGACCTCTGGTTGGCAGCCAGATGTCTTACCCACTATGCTACCAGAGTTCACACTTCTGTTCCACTAATACTTTGACCCATCATTATGTCACTCTTTTTTTCTCTCAAAATTGTACACACAAACGTGTAAGTGTGGGTTAGGACATGATACCTTGAACCTCTCTTGGACCACAGAATATGGAAATTTTAAAAAGACTTGGAGAAATAAAGTCTCTGCAAAGCTCTGGAAAAATGTAATGTTTTCAAGGTTTTTTAATGACAGATTTTATTATCAGGAAACTAAAATGACCAGGTCAGGAGTTTTTAAAGTTGTTAATCATATACCTAAGCCACCAGAGCTCCTTTTAAAACTTTTAGTTACAGATAAATAGCAATGGATGTCTATTTTTAAGACTGTGATTTCAAGTTTTACTATGGCAGATAAGGTATTTTTCTTATGGGATCAGCATTGCTGTTGGCTTTTTTTTTCCCATCTCAAAGACAGGCTGAGATAATTATTGATGGTTCACCTTCTGAAGGGTCCTAAGAGTCTGGTCACAGTGCCAGGCCCCCCCAGACAGAAGAGATTTTCCTAAGATCAGTGACACTGTGATACTTCCCCACCTTTCCCTTCTAAAGAGCTATGTCTGGTCTACACACGTTCCTCAAAGAGGGATGTGAAGAAAACCTGAGGCACAGCTTAGCTCTGGTGCTTGTTTCCAGGTCTTGGCCTCACTCATCATTCGCCTGGCCCTGGCTGAAACATTCTGCTTGAACTGTGGCATCCTTGCCTTGGATGAGCCAACAACAAATCTTGACCGAGAGAACATTGAATCTCTCGCACATGCTCTGGTTGAGTAAGTATCTCAAAGTTGGAGGCAACTCATGACAGTTTTTTTTAAAATAAGATCAAAAGAGTTCTGTGGTGGGAATCCTCTCTAGATAAGTCCTACTTGAGGAAGCTGGGTGGTGCCAGGCCGTAGGATTTACCTTTGATAGTAATTCTTCAGAGTTTCCTTGAAAAGAAACTAGACAGTGAACAGCAGCCCTAGACACATCCCACATCTCCCCTAGTGTGTACATAGGGAAGGCCATGGTGAAAGTTGTTGACTTAGTTTGGTTTTCCTGTAAACCCACATAGGTAGGGATCCACATACCACGTACAGGAATTACTGTGTCTGCTGAGACAGCTGTAACTAGCAGTGGGTTTAGCTGATCTCTCCAGCTTTTCACATGTGTCAGATAGCAGCTATCAGGAATGGCTGAGTAGAATCCAGTGAGGGTAGAATTGTACATGCCTTCTATCATGTTCACCCATGGTGGGTATAGAGCCCAGGAATGGGTAGCCCTGGCTCAAGGATTGTGCTAGCAGAGAAAAGGCACTTTTCCCAGAGGTAAAGAAGGTGTTTTAGGAACTCCTGGCTCCAGACAGACTCTGGCAGTGATAATGTTTCCTGTCTGACTTGAGGGTTTGGGCCAGTAGGAGAGCTGAGCAACCACAGAACCACCTGCCTCCAGCCATCTCTCAGGAGTTTTGCATGACCAGCAAGTAAGGGTTAGTATTTTTGAAACCTCATATGCATCCAGCTCCAGGCAAAGGAGAAATAAGTGACTGATTAAAGATGTAAGTCTTTTGGATCTCAGTCCCATAGCTGGCTACCTCAGCCTATAGATAGTGAGCAAAAATTTTCCTAGTCCACCCACTCATGTCCCTGTATTTCATAGTAGTGATGCATCTAGTGACTGGTGGTAGCAGAATTCTAAGTAGGCACAGCTAAAAAGGCAGTGGGGCCTGCATATGTTATTCCCCTTGACTGTAGTCAAGAGACTGAATACCTGTTGAGTAATGAGGTATTAAGGAAAGCTCAACAAAACATTTCCACTTACTTTAGTAAGAAAAACTTTGTGATCTGAAAGAGATCAGGTATTCTTGCCAGTATCTTAGTCCCTAAGCCCCAGACCTAGGTGATGAGCCAGGCCATGCAACCCTAAAGTCTGGAAACAAAATGGGAACCCTACCTGCCTGGGCTGAAGACCTGGGTCCACACACCCACCCCACTTCCTGCAGGGCAGCCAGAGGCCCTGACCCTCAGGCTGCACAGGAAGAGCTTGACTGTCAGACACAGCATGTGCTCATGTGTCTGACAAGGTTCTTGGGGGCCTTTTCAAATGAAAGAAAGGGCTATACTCTTTAGTAATAAAATGTTCTAAATATGTTGTTTCAGGATAATAAAAAGCCGCTCACAGCAACGTAATTTCCAGCTTCTCATAATCACCCATGATGAAGATTTTGTGGAGCTTTTAGGGCGTTCTGAATATGTGGAGAAATTCTACAGGATTAAGAAGAACATGGATCAGTGCTCAGAGATTGTGAAATGCAGTGTTAGCTCCTTGGGATCTTACGTTCATTAAAAATACTCAAAACTTAAATGTCATTGAAACACAGGTCCTCAGAAAACTGCTTATTTCTGATACCAACTGAGTCAAAATAATATTTTTAAAAGGGAGCATTGTATCTTAAGATTTTGAATTTTTGAGAAGTTTCTAAAATCATGAAAGTTGTTTCACATGACATTTGGACTGATTCCCTATTTCTGACTCTCTCAACTTCATCCCTCTCCCAGCAGCCTCAACAGCAGCACAATTGAACCCATCTTCTCTGGTTCCCTCCCCAACACAAATGACTGTTTCCTCAGCACCAAGACTGATTACTTACCCTCCCTTTCTCAAAGCACTGTTGAGGAGGAGATTCTCTCTGCCTTGATAAGTACAGTTTGGGTGTAAAAATCAGTGTTAAATGTTACCTCTGTGGATTTATTTCCTTCAGTGTGCTTCTAAAAACAGAGTTATGAGTGCATACTCATATCTGATCAGATTTTGAGGTATTGCTGTTTGGCTCTACTCTTAACTGTGTAAATCTGTACAATTGAGTTCCCTCTCTGTGCCTTGGCTTCCTCAACTAAAATTTGAAGTAATTGAATAAGGTCTCAGGGTTTGACAGGAACCTTAAATAATCTAATTTACTACCCACCATCTCCCCTCCCCACATAGAACCCCTGGATACTCATCCAGACTCGAGGTTGTCTCTAGAGAGAGGAAATTCCCCAGTGTGCACATCCACCTTTGGAAAGCTCTGACCAACAGCAATGCCTGCCTTCACTTGAGCACTGGCCTGGCCATCATGAAGAAGGCTAACTGTCCCCTCTGTCCTAGGGATCACCTTGGCATCACCCTCAGTCCTGGAACTCTCTAAGTATGTTCCAGGCTAGAAAGCAAGCAAGGCTGACTCGCAGAGTCGTGACCTGGAAGAGCAGGTCTCTCATTTCCACTCCAGATGCTATTTCTAATGAAACCTAATCACATTTTTCCTAAAATTACCAGTTGATATCTTAAAGCCTTTCACACTGGATACTACCAAGTCCTATACTTTTGAACTACACTTTTTGGAGTTTTTTCAGGGCCACATTGGTTCTGAGGAGATTTGGTGGTGCAGTAAGCATTGGGCTGCTGACCAAAAGGTCGGCAATTTGAACCCATCAATTACTCCATGGGGGAAAGATGAGGCAATCTGCTTCCTTAAAGATTTACAACTTTGGAAACCCTGTGGGGCAGTTCTACTCTGTCCTATAGGATCACTGTGAGTCAGAATTGACTTGATGACAGTGGGTTGGGTTGGATTTTAGTCTCGCCTTCAACTCTTTTGCCCTTCTTCCATCCTCAAATTCTCATGGCAACCCCCAGCTTTGGTTAAATCCATCTGTCGTCTTGCACATGTGGTTTCCTTTGCCAGTTTCTCCTGACCACTTGATGTTGCATTGCTTTAGTGCTTAGACTCAGTCCTTGGAACTTCTTTTCTTCATACTTATCCAGTCTCATAGGTTTAAAACTGTTATCTTAGAGTTCTCCTAGAAGCAGACCCTGGAACAGTGATCTAACCAGTAAGAGATTGGGGGAATTATAGAGAAGGAAAGACAACCATTGAGGGGTGTGGTGTTATCGTTGTAATTGAAGCTTAATCCCAGAGAGAGACTCTGGGAAACCTGGTAAATTATATGCCTCAGAACTATCCCACTTGAGGGACAAGAGAGCTGGGGTATTGACTTACCAACTCCCAAGAGTCACTGACTGAGGGCTGCTCCAGAGAGAGGGTTACCGACTTGCCAGGTGCACCAGCAGAGCTGCCTTCTACAGTTAAATTTTCTTCAAAACCTTCACACACAGAGACACAGATAACAGCAGCTGGAAGTTGGCCAGAGCAAACTAGAAGTAACTGGGGTATGGGCAGGGCACTGAGAGAACCTGTACCGGCCATCTGTGTGTTGATAACTTGTGCAAAAAGGGCATGGGGCAGCGTCTGACCTCCAACCTCACTAGCAGGGAGAAGCATCAAGATCCACATCAACAGCCCAAGGCTGATTCCTATGAGGCAGAGGTCAGACATGCCACACCCAGCCAAACTTTTTATCAATTCTGACCCCAACCACCCCTCCCATGGCACTGTACTTCTCTACTGGGTTCGATAATTCATTGCAGTGGCCACACAGAAGTCACAGTCAATCACAGTTAATGGGGTTTATTAAGGAAGTAACAGATTACAATTCTTTAGTCAGGCCAGCCTCCCCTCAGCCATGTCCCCAGGCTGACCTCTCTTTGGCCCTCAGCCTGCCTCTACTGGGTTTCTTTCTTGATGGTAGTGAAATCCTGCCCTCCTCCCCACCGCCGCCAATTTCCACCTCTGGGATGGTTCACTTTAAATCTAGCAGGATGGAAAACTGACTAATCCCCATGTTAGGGTTCTATATACCTTATTAGCACAGTCCCACCCCTACAAGAGTGCCATGTAACCTTATTTACATTATTAGCAAGCTATGGCAATCTCCTTGATGGGTCACAAACACCTGGTTTGCAGAGTCCCACCCAGTCATCTGGTGGGAGTTAGAAAAATCATGGCTAGATGGATCATACTCAGTAATCCACTGTACCACACTTAACAATGTCCAGATTTCTAAATTCCTGACTCACCTATTCAGCTGCCTGTTGGACATCTATCTGCACTTGAATGTCTACGGACATCTCAGATTTAACATGATCAAAAACAATCTCCTCCAGAAACCTCCCATAAGTTCCCCATTAATGGTAACTCCATTCTTGGCATCATCCTTGATTCCTCTGTTACACTATACATCCATCGGTTTAAAATACATTGAACTTTGAGGATATATCGAGAATTTGACCAGGCCTTACCACTCCTAAACCACCACTGCTCTGGTCAAAGCCGCCATCATGTCTAGCCTAAAAATCTGAGCAACTCACTGCTCTCCCTGCTTTAGTCCTGCCCCTAACAGTTTGTTCTCAGCACAGAGCTAGTGATCTTTTAAAAAGGTAAATCCAGTTAATGTGTTCCTCACAAAGGTATGGCTTAGTAATTCTGAAATAAGAACTGAGTTCCTCACGTTGGAAAAATAAGTCGCAAATCAAGAAAGGGTAGGCCGAAAAGCAAACTCTATGGCATTGGATTGAATCCTAAGTATCAGTATAAACTTACAGTTTTTGTATATGTGAAGGATTTATACTTAGAGAATAACAGTAAAGGTCTCCAAAAATCTCTGTAAAAGCATTGTAAGTGCTGGAAGGGGGCAGGGGAGAGTCAAAAACCAGCATTTTCAGAACTTTGGAAGTTAAAGGCTTACAACAATCCAAGGAGTGTTTATTCAAGGAAAACACCTCATCCTCCATAAGAATAGCCAGACCTGTGTGATTTAATTCGCCCTGATCCACCCTGCAACCCCCCTTTCCCTGGTAGTCTTGAGGACCCACAGCCCCATAACTATGGTACCTATGAAAAGCAGCAGCCTAGTAGTCACTGAAGAGGACAGAATGGATTTGGGGGTCCCCAAAATTTCTACCATAGAGAATCACCACTATGTGATCTGTCTGGCAGCTCACTGGAAAGCTCCATCTTCAGGGCCCATCTTTATTTGACCAGAGTCAGAGTTTACCCTACAAACAGCACTACCTACAGGGCAATCAGTGGCAACTGCTCACTATCACAGCGGCCTGAAGAAGCATTACCAGTTGGGGCTAACTAGAGGCTAATTTGATCAATACTTTAAAAATTGGGGAGGGAGAGATCCATAAGGGAAATCTGAAAAGCTCTGACATAATCCTAGGGCTCTAGAAGGCTGTGTGTATGTGTAGGGCTGTATGCATGCCTGGGCGGGACCTGAGAAGGCCCTGAACTCTCATCTCTAGCTGACCATGAGGCTGTACTCATGCAAGAAGTGAAGACTATTGCACAACTGAAGACATTCCCCAATAGACACAGGTCCTCAGCAAAGGCTGGGAGACTTACTGGCTCAAGGCATTAAAAAGAATCCCTGTCCAGGCTGAATGATCAGGTATTTCTAAGCAAAAGGGAATAGACCCATGACCATATATATGTTTGACATGATATTTCTCCATTTGTATTGGTATGTGCTGTAAGAATGTCCATGTATACAACAGAGCTAAGGGGCAGAGTTATCATAACTTCTTAGCCACAGCCAGCCACCCTGAGGAAGTAAGTTGGGCCCCCGGGCTCTGGACCATGGTTGCAGGACATCAAGCTCAACTGGCATAACATACTCTATAAAAATAATGTTCTACATCCTACTTTGGTGAGTAGCAACTGAGGTCTTAAAAGCTTGCAAGCAGCCATCAAAGATGCAACAATTTGTCTCTCCTCATCTGGAGCAAAGAAGAATGTAGAAAACAAAAGGTGTGTGGAAACATTTAGTCCAAGGAACTAGTGGACCATGTGAATCTCAGCCTACATGACCTTCCATTAGAACTAGAAGGTGCCCTGCTCACACTGTCAGCCACTCTAAAAGGGAGGAGTGTGGGAGATCTTGGATAGAGTGGGAGAAAAATGTGGAACAAAACTCAAAATCATAGAAAACAGCAGATTTACTGTAGGTCTAATAGAGATTGGTGAAACTATGGTCCCTAATCACCTTTCAGGCCTGGAATTGATCTCACTCCCATGGTTTCTAGCCAAACAATAGACAGGTGTGTATGAAGTGAACATTTACACCAGGTAGGTGCATTCCTTAGAACAATCAGTCATGAGAGATCAGGACAATATTTGTACAGAGAGGTAGCTCAGAGGACAGGGATGCATAGGAAAGGAGGACACAGGGAAAAGGTAACCACAGGGAAAAAGTGCGAAGAGAGCTTTTATATTTGTTTCAATGTCATGAAACAAAATCAGCATGAACTATTGTATGGAAAATGAATATGTTCTGTACCCAAATTACAATTTAAAAAAAAAAAAATTGTTTTAATCTCTGTTCAATCATAGCTTACTACTAAGCTAACCAAGTAGAGATTTCAGACTCCACATGATGAATAAAGAATTAGTCCAGAAAAGTCACTACCAAACATAGTTGCAACAACAACCATCAGAAATAGGAGCTAAAAATGCATCCACACAAAAAAATTATACATTAATTCATAACAGTATTAATTCATAATAGCCAAAACGTAAAAACAACCCAAATGTCCATCAACTGATGACTAGGTGAATGTAGCATAACTATACACTGAAATATTATTCAACAATAAAAAGGAATGATACATATTACAGTATAGATAAACCTTGGAAACATAATAAGTGAAAGAAGCCAGATGCAAAAGACCACATATTACATGTTTCCATTTATGTGAACTGTCCAGAATAGGACTATCCATAGAGACAAAAAGTAGAATATTGATCACAAGGGTCTGGGAGGATGGAGGAATGTGGAATGACTCCTAATTGGCACAGAATTTCTTTTGTGGATGATGAAAATGTTCTGGAATTAGTGGTGGTCAGTGCACAACTTTGTGAATATACCAAAAACAATCACTAAATTGTACACTTTTAAAGGATGAACTTTATGATATGTCCACTATATCTCAATAAAACAGTTATTTAAAGTAAATGTGTGTGTATTGTTGTTAAGTGTCTTTGAATTGGCTCTGACAGCGACGCTATGGACAACAGAGTGAAATGTTGCCGGGTCCTGCGCCATCACCACCACCCCTGCTATGCTTCAGCTCATCGTTACAGCCACTGTGTCAACGCGTCTCATTGAGAGTTCTCCCCTTTTTCACTGACCCTCTACCAAGCATGATATCCATGTGTGTGTGCACGCACGCATACATATATATGTGTATATATACAGATAGATTCATATGGATATGGATATGCATGAGTTAGGATGCATACATAGATTCCCTGTCTCTCTGCAGAGAGGGCCTAGATGCAATGATACCCCAGTAAAAATTAGAACACCTAGTGTCCAGATCTCTATTTCAAAACACTCTCTCTGAAAAAACGCCACTTTCTTCAATTAAAGGAACCAAAGCTTTTGGAGAAGTGTTTGATTCCAGGGCTGAGGCAGAGAAGATGTAAAATGAACCCGGAACAGCCTATGGTGCCAAAAATAAAATCCTCAAAAAGAGATGGGTTTGTGGGAAGAACACAAAACCTAAACGGAAGTACCTCCAAATGACCCAAGGTGGAACGATCTAGACAACTAAATGAAGGCAGCATTGGGTTATAACCCATACAATAAAATAAATATTCATTAGCCCATATTGATGATATAACAAATAAGGGGCAAAGGGCAAACACTGGCTTCAGAGCATCCCATAAGCGTTAGTATGTTTTGTTTTAATTCATCTCAAAGTGTACTGTAATTTTCATTGAAACTACTTTGATTTACAGTCAGTAAAACACAGCCAGGCGTGCCCTGGTTCCTCACCTGTAAGACAATGGGCGACCCACGTTGCAACTGTAAGGGAATTAATGGCAGGCCACCTGTTCTTAAGTACCCGGAAAAGACCTTTTGTTCAAAAAACCAAAAGAAAAACCACTGCCATCGAGTCAATTCCGACTCATAGCAACCCTATAGTTACAATTATCTGGGTTGTGAATAAAGCCCCTCTGAAAATCAAGCTTTCTTGATATTTTGTTGCTGATGTTGCCACTCGGGTGCGTCTCCCGTGCGTTCTGCGGAGCCACGCTACCCGAGGCCCCACGGCGCGACCAGCCGCCCTTCTTGGCAGGGCGGTCGCAAGTCAGGTGGCTGGCCTGCCTCTCGGCAGGCTCCTCCGCCCTGGGGACAAGGCTGCCGGGTGGGCTCCCTCTCCTGCCTGGCCTTGGCTGGCAGCCGGGATTGCACACCTCGCTGGCTTCCCCTCGCCCGTGCCAAGCTTGCCCGGCGCGCCCACAGCTCTCAAGCCCACAATTCAACGCCTTCGCGAACCTGGGACCTGAGTCGGCCGGGGCGGAGGCAGTGACGGGCACCGGCGCTTTGAAAATTCCCGGGGAGACTGGCCTGCGCCCCTCACCTTCCTCTGGCGCCGTCCACAGACCGAAGTCGCGGTGGAGACCAGGCCTAGCGATCCCGCTTATCTGCCCATCTCCCATTACATAAAGCCACAGTTACATAAGGCAGCGCGCGCCACTATCTCCTGGGGCATCGCAGACCTAGGGGCCAGCGCGCCTTCTCCCACGCGCACGGGCGCGCCTGCCCATCGCTCCACGCCGGGGCTTTGACAGTGAACGAGGAGCGCTGACTCATTCCCGCGGGGCTCCAGCACTCACGTAACCCACCGTGGTTGCCTGCGCTACCCCCACCATGGAGACGCCTTGGGAGATACCACTGGCCTATTTTAGGGAGAGGAAGCTGAGGCCTTCAGAGGGGTCATCCAGGCACTGGGGGTCCATGAGGGGCAGGGGCCAGCTTCCCCGTGTCAGGGTCTGAAGTTAGCCCGAGAATATTGGGGCACTGACAGAAGAGTGGACGCGTACATGTTACCAGTGGAAGGACAAGGATGGACATGGCTGGGGTGTTTGGAGCAGGAGTGAGGGCCTCTCGTCCATTGAAAGACCCTTGTGAGGGGGTTGAGCCCCGTTGGTAGTGGGGTCACTGGGAGAGGGGCTGCAGACCGCACCAGGTGATACTGTCAGAGGGGGTGACACCAAAATGACTGTCAATAAAATTTTTGTGCCATGTTTCAGCAGGAATTTATTATTTTTTATAAAAATATCCTTGTAGTTGTTGTTGTTGTATTGTTATGTGCCGACAACAAAACCATTTCCCAGAAGTCCAGCTTACATGTATCAATGTAAGACTAAAACTCAGTGCTAACTTTTTGCATTTTCTAATGCACTCTGGCCAGAGCTGTCATTATTACCCAATTAAACTGATACACCAAATCATGTGATTTTGTCTACACACAAGCACACATGTTGTTTCCATTGATGTTTTAGTCACAGATTTCGCCAAATTTTCTGGTGTTTTGGCTACAATATTGTTGTTGTTGTTATGTGCCCTGTAGTTGGACCCGACTCATAGTGACCCCTCCTTGGGTTTCCAAGGAAGTATCACTACGGATGTAGATTGCCCAACCTTCCTTTTGAAGAGTGGCTGCTGGGTTTGAACCACCAGCCTTCTGGTTAGCAGTCAAATGTCTTAGGCACTACGCCACCAGAGCTCTAATTAGTATTTGTGAACCTATCAATGACTTCTTTGAGAATGGAGTAGTAATTAAAGGAAAAGAAGAGAAATCAAAACAGCTTCTCAGTTACTACTAGTGTAATTCAATGTAGAAAGATTTTACAAAATAATTTAAGTTCATATAATCTAAGAAATACTACACTTAAGCAATTTATAGCTATATTTATCACATACTATTCTACGATTTGGAAGCTTTGATGGCATAATGCCTAAGGTATTTGCTAACCAGAAGGTTGGTGGTTTAAACCTACCAGTGGCTCCTCAGAAGGAAGGTTGGGCAATCTACTTCTATAGTGATACTGCCTTGGAAACCCAAGGAAGGGTCACGATGAGTCGCATCCAACTTGAAGGCAGTGGGTTTGGATTCTACGATTTAAATTTATAGTAAATATTACTATGTATTCTGTACCGTCTGGAGGTTCATGAGGGGAGGGGGTAACACCATGAGTTACTGCACTGGGTGGCACCAACCCTAGTGACACTAATGCCCACTTGGGGAAAGGACCAGAGAAGCTTGAGCCTGGGGTGGGGGCCTAGAGGGGGAGATGCTGGGTTTGGAGGAGGAAGTAGATGAGAGAGAGAGCTTGAAAGCAGCACCCAATAGTGCAAAGCTGCAACTTCCGTTGTTGGGGTGTTTGGAGGACTTCTAGGAAAATGAGGGAACAGCAGGCAAAGGCTATGTGTCAGCGTCCCTGCAGGGGAGGGGGAGGACCTTGAACCAGGACAGGCCCAAGAACTGTCCTCCACAGCACTCATCCTCCAGCAGGCAGAGATCAGTCACACAGAGACTGGTGGGCAAAACTGCAACCCAGGGTTCCAAGGACACTGGGAACAGTTACACTCTCCTGCCTGCTTGTCCACTAAGAGTTTGCCAGCAGGATAGCCAATGGCTGGAGGCCTGGGAGGTTCCCAGTGTCCATCCAGGTCATCATCAAAATGCTTAGAGTCATCATCAAAACAACTTCAAAAAAGAGAAGGTCCAGCGGGACCCTTGAATCCTTCTGGAATCGGAACTTTTTTTACTTCTTCCCACAGTAGAACCATGGGGATCAGGTCGGCCATTGAAAGGAACTTACTGGACTCTTCTTTTGTCCTGTTTGAATTTTTTATCCAAAGCATGTATTACTTTGGATATTTAAGAGACCAGTTAACTATAAAAATAAAATCCTAAAATCCCCACCACTGGTAGACTGGTCACAGCACTGCTGCCCAGCACTTCCTGTAACCTCAATGGGTCTGCTAACAGAGGCTCAAGGTGGTCACCTGGCAAAACTGCTGGTGCTTGAGCTGTCACTGCTGACCTCAGAACCCCCTTCAGGGCCCTCTCACCCACCCCTTGGAGTAAGCCCAGCCAGATCTTGGAAACTGTGCGCAGGCCCTCATTAATAAGTCCACAAGAAATCAAACTCTTTCCTTTATGTGACACTGGATTTTCCACAGAGTAAAATCAAGATGAGTAAAGATGTGGTTTGTAGATAGTACCTGACAAACAGAGACCAGGGTGTCAGGCGTCACCCCGTGGGCCTATAAAAGCTGCCACCAGAGGCCAATGCCACAGCCACTCAACTTAGGCCAGCCTACGTGTCTGCTTCCCGCTGCTCTGGTGTTACCTCTGGACCCCATGGCACTCTTGTTGACTGTGGTCATTGCTATCGCCTGCCTTGGTGATCTGGCCTCCTCAGTCCCCGTGCATCAGGTCAGCGTCCTGCAGGAGATCATTGAAGAGCTGATCAAGATCACCCAGAACCAGGTGAGTGCCTACCACCAGTAAAGGCCCCGGCTCTGCGGGCACTGGGCCAGGATGACTTGTGGGAAGAGTGGTGGGCCTGACCGTAGAGTCAAGAAGAAGCCCCAGGGACCAGGGGATGAGCCTAGCCACAAGGCAAGGGGAGAAGCCAGGTGGGGGCAGCAAACAGATGGCTGGAGCTGTGAAGGAGTTTGGCAGAGCCCCTAGGAAGCACCGCCTTCCCTAGTTTGGTCCTGCCTGCCATCTCCAGTTCCTACTCAGGCATTCAGAAACAGAGAGGGGCAGAGAAGGGCCAGCCCTCGCCCAGAACCAATTGTGATTTGCCTCTTGGATTCTGAGTGCAATAATGGGTTTATTAATCACTGCATCTTAGTTACATTCATTCTCATGGAAGGATTCATTACTGGAGTCAACTCCTCTCCCCACTAACAACATCACACTTTCTGAGCACGTATTATGTGTCAGTCTGGTGCTGGGGGCCTTATATCTCATTTTGCTGCTGCCAACAGCCTCACAGAGAGATACGATGGCCCATTTTATATCCATAAGAATGGATGTAACTAAGATGCTATGAATAATAACCCCATTATTCAGTGAGGTGAACTGACTTGCTTAAGGATGTAAGATCTGTATGTAGTAGAGACCAGTCCTGACTGACAATAATGTCGGTGACCCCAACTGCTATGTCCCTCAATTCAGAAGGCAGTGTTTATACCCTAGACTCTACTGCCTCCCATCTGATGCATCAAGGCTACCAGTGGCCCAGGCTACCTCCTCCCACCAGATGCCCAAGAAGTCTCCCATGCAGGCCCTACTGCTAGGCCTGATGTCTTCTGTCCTCCTGTCCTGGCCCTGGTGATCTGTGCATAAGGCTTGCTCCTTACCAATTGTTTCACTACTCAGTTTTTCCCTCAGAGCCAAGACCCTGCATGATGGGTTTCCCCTATGATGCTGGGGAACAATGGGGGCTGCCAGGCTTGCCCCTGTGCTATCACAGGGATATCATTGGATGCTGGTAGAGCCTGATCCTTTTGGAGATCTGGCCCGGGCTGGCATGGGGTGTCTAGGACCACTGCCAGCACTCTGCTCACTGTCTTTTTGCTCACTTAGGCACCCCTATGTAATGGCAGCATGGTGTGGAGTGTCAACCTAACGGGCAACGAGGTAAGGACGCTTGGACACTCTGGGGAGGGGGCCAAGGCTGTAGGCCTTGGGTTTATCTTCTCTGAGCCTCACTCACTCACATCTCAGGGGGTTTCCAAGAAAGCTTCAAGTGCTACCTTTCCTGTTCTCATAATCTGGGCCCTACTCAACATCCAGACCCCCTTCCATGAGAGCTCTCAAATGCCCCTCCTCCTGTAAACCTACTCCGTACAGGCATCCTGTACCAGGGGCTGGGGCAGGGCTCAGCAGGGCCTAACATCTTGTGGGTCTCTTCCCGGCAGTACTGTGCAGCAATGGAAGCCCTAAGCAACGTCTCGAACTGCAGAACCATCCACAATGCCAAGAGGTTACTTGACGGTGCCTGCAAACAATACAAGGCCCCAGCCAGTGTGAGTCTCCCCCTAGGCCCCACCACGCACCCTATCCTACCAGCATCAGCCTCTTCCCAAGCCCCGGGATCACCCTGGCAGTGAGCCAGTCTGGGAAGCCCCTGGCAGACGCTGGTCGTCCTTGCTGATGGTGTCTCACTAACACACTGGCCTTTTTGTCCTGCAGCAGGTTTCCAGCTTGCAAGTCCGAGACACCAAAATCGAACTGACCGAGTTCATCAAGAACCTGCGTGAACATTTAAGGAGCATCTTCCGCCACGGACTGCTTACTGAAGCATGAAAAGCTCACGACATTATTTGCAGAGACAGGCCCTGACTGTTTAAGTGGTCGATTTATGTTTCTTTCTGATGTCAAAAATGTATTGGGTAGGAGGGCCAGGGGAGGGGGGATAAAATTTCCTTAGTTGAGACCTCAGCCTATGCTGCTTCCCTTCAGCTGCTCCTTCATTGGCCCCCAGGGCTCAGACAGGTGGGCCTCCTCTGTCCAGGGCTCAAAGCTCGGTGGATGAGGCAGGGAGAAATTGCCCCCTACCTACTTCCCATCCTTAGAGCAAACTGTAGCATTTACAGTGGGTGCCGCTCTTGCCAGTCATATGGTAGCAGAGGGACCAGCATCATACAGGGCGACTAAGGCAGAGAGCAGCTCAGGCATATTTCTTCTTGGTCTTATTTATTATTGTGTGTTATTTAAACAGTGTGTTTGTCCATACGGCGATAGGGAGGGACTGGTGCTGCCAGACTTTGGAGCCCAGGGCCCAGAGACTCGGGGCTGCAGCACTAAGCAGTGGGCATTACAAGTGCTGGATGCCATGTACTATGTGCAACATTCTGCTACCTCACTGGGCCCTGGGCCCTAGGTCTCACCACTCCTGTCTACAGCCAGCAGTCACCCCCAAACCAAGGGATAATTTATTGTTTTTCCTAGTATTTAAATTTAACTATTAAAATATGTTATCAAAGAGTTAATATATACAGAAGAGCAGCCTAGAAGGTTGCTGGTATGGGGTATGTATACCGGGGGAGGGAGGTGGGGGTCAATGAGTAACTTGTTTCATTCACTGTGTCAAAAGAAAAGTTGGAAATAAAGATACAGATGACGACAAACGAGGTCTGATCGCATTTGCCTTTTCTATGGGTTATGGGGGAACTCTGTGGCATACATAGTACATAAGGCATTTGACTGCTAACCAGAAGGCTGGTGGTTCAAACCCACCAGCCACTCCTTTGAAAGAAGACTGGGTGATCTACTTCCATAGGGATACCACCTCGGAAACCCAAGAAGGGGTCTCTATGAGTTGGATCCGACTCAACGGAGATGGTGGTCTATGGTCTCAAGACTGGGAAGCAGGCCTGTTGGAGAGTAGGGGCTAGGGGAGTGGAGTGGGAGTGAGGATGAGAACTGGGGTGGGGGCACACAGCAGCAGGGGAAGCTCACCTTCAATCCACATGGACCCCCATCTCCCACCCTCCCCAGCGAAGGAGGAGGAAACTTGGCCACGATGTTGGGTTTAAAGGAAGGGATCTGGAGCAGGCAGAGACTTCAGAAATCACCTCATGATCATGACTCTTGATGAGTCCAGCCTGTGTCTATACCTCTCACACACCCTCTGTGCCTCCCTCACAACTCAGGAAATGGAGATGAAGACTCTGGGCTCAGAAAGGGCAGGTGACTTGCCCAAGGTCACATAGCTAAAAAGGAGCAAAGGCAGGATTTGAACTCAAATCACTCCAACTCCAAAGCCCACATCTAACCACCCTGCCTCTCTCTGTCCAAATATCATCTGGCCTGAGTGCACAATTCCCCTGTAGAATATTGTCATCGACCACTGTTTGGACACCCCCCATGAGCAGGGAGCTCAGGACTTACTTTGCAGGAAAAGCCTATTCAATTTCTGGACGCCTCTCATCATTAGTGCATACTCACCACCTCCATGAACAAAGGTAGACAAAGAACGAACAAACATGCAAGCACCTGAACTAGAGGGACTGGGGTGGAGAACGGAGATCCCTGGGACCCTGACCAGACCACTTGTCAGGGCAGGTTTGTTTGCTCCTCCCTTGGCCCACCAGTACCTGAAGTGCTGGAACCACACTCCCACAGCCACAGGCAACAGTCATGCACCTCAGCAACGGTTTCCACTGAGTGTCTTTGGGAGGTGCCTCGGACAGGGGCTACACCACAGCAATGAGATGCCTTTGCAGAGACTATTGGGTCTCACTCATGCTGGGCCATCTAAGACCAACTCCCAAACTCTGAGCACCAGGCAGGTGCCTACCTGACTTGGAAGCCAGAGCCCTGTGGGAACACCCATAGTCACAAGTCAGGGAAGGCAGCCTCCCTGGAGCAGAAGGAGTTCTCGGATGTGTGTAATTCAGACAACAGGGAACATAGCTGGGACTTGACCAGGGAGCTGATAACCATGGGCTGAATGCTCCAGGAACTATTGTCAAATAGGATGGCTTGCTTCCACCCAATCAGAGGGGAGGGGAGCAGGAAAGGCTGACAGGGCAGGTGGGGGACACCCAGCCCAGAGCAGAGAAGACCTGAGGAGGAAGCCCAAGAGCCAACTAGTGTCAATTGGCCATCCAGTCAGAGGCTGGTTCTGTGAGGCCCCAGGGGCCATCACAGAGCCTGCTCAGTCCCACTGCATTTGCTGAGGACACTTGCAGGTCTGTATCAGCCACCAGGGCTAGCACTGACCAAGATGCCACATGCTCTCAAGGTTTAGCACCAGACAGAACTCCGGAAAAAAAAAAAAAAAAAGTAGAGGCTGTAGAGAAGGAGGCCACGCCCTGGGAAGGCCTCATCTCTGGAGCAAGCAAACAGCTTCCAGGAAGTTGATGAGACTCAGAAGTCAGGGGTGAGGTGGGAGCAATGATCTTGGTTATTCCTCTCCAATCAGAAATGCTAGGATTTTAAGATGAGAAGGATATTTGTGGACTTTTTGTTTGTTTGTTAAATAAGGCATTTGACTGCTAACCAGATGGCTGGCAGTTCAAATCCACCAGCCACTCCTAGGAAGGAAGGAAGATTGGGCATTCTACTTCACTAGTGATGACTCCGTGACTCACTGCCATGGAGTCAGATTCGACTCATAGAGACTCCTCCTTGGGTTTCCGAGGCAGTATCACTACGGAAGTAGATTGCCCAACCTTCCTTCTAAGGAGTTGCTGGTGGGTTTGAACTGCCAGCCTTTTGGTTAGCAGTCAAATGCCTTACGCCACCAGAGTGATACCACCTCGGAAACCCAAGGAGGGGTCGCTACGAGTCAGATCCAACTTGATGGCAGTGAGTTTGTTTGTTTGTTTGTTTTTTAAAGAGATCTTTCCTTCAGTAGGACCATCATTGACCCAGGTTTGCTCCATCTCACCAAGGCACTGACTGGCCTGTTTGTCCAGAGAGAAGATGTTACTTCCAGTCAAATTCCACATGGACACCCCCCAAGAACAAAGACTGGAATTAGGCTGGCATGGATGATGACCCCTTTGGATTTTCCCAGGATGTATTTGAAGCCAGGCTTTTCAAGGCCCTATGGAGCTAAGAAAGGTTCTCTGGTGGCGCAGTGGGTAAGGCATTTGGCTGCTATCCAGAAGCTCGGAGGTTCAAACCTACCAGCTGCTCCACAGGAGAAAGATGAAGCAATCTACTTCAGTAAATATTTACAATCTTGGAAACCCTATAGGGGTCACTATGAGTTGGAATCTACTTGATGACAGTGTGTTTGGTTTTTGGTTTTTGTGGGGCTCTGGTGGCGTAATGCCTAAGGCACTTGACTGCTAACCAGAAGGCTGGCAGTTCAAACCCACCAGCCACTCCTCAGAAGGAAGACTGGGCAATCTACTTATGTAGTGATACCACCTCAGAAACCCAAGGAAGGGTCGCTATGAGTCGGCTCTGACTTGACCTCAGTGCATTTGTTTTTGAGGAAGGAGCCCTTGGTGGCATTAAAAAAAAAAAACCTCACTGCAGTCAAATTGAATCCGACTCATAGCGACCCCTCCTTGGGTTTCTGAGGTGGTATCTCTACGGAAGTAAGAACTCAGCTGCTAACCAAAAGGTCAGTGGCTCGAACCCACCAGCCACTCTGCAAGAGAAAGAGGAAGAAGTCTGTTTCCATAAAGATTTACAGCCTCGGAAACCCTATGGGTAGTTTTGCTCTGTCCTATAGGGTTGCTATGAGTCAGAATCAACTTGATGGCAACAGGTTTGTTTGGTTTTATGGGGCTGAGTGCACAGAAGACAGAGTCCTCCCCAGCCTGACCACTAGGGGTCCATGCTCACCAACTCCTCAGCTGCTGCAGTTCAGGCTGTGCCTCAGACTCTGGCTGGCAGGGAGCCAGTGGTCACTGGCATTAGGCAGTGAGCAGAAAAGGGCTCCAGGCCTCCAGAGAAGAGAGGCACTTCACAAAGCCACATAACCAAGCCACTGCTAGTGGCAACAGGGAGATGGACCCAGTGAGGAATGAGAAAGAAAGAAACAGAAACAGAAAAAAGGTGTGTGTCAGTTTGGGGAGCATTACTACCTGGGGACTTGACTCCGTGGGGCATTTGCAGGGAGTTTTCTGTACCCACGTGGTCTAAGTCCTTTCACGAACAAGGCAAACCCCGAGCAGGGCCCAAGGAGGGAAGGGGACCAGGAGAGATAAGAGTGCCTGGTGAGTGGGAGGGAGATGCTGGGTGTGGGCCGGGTGGAGAGCCCTGGCACCTTGGGAACCCCAGCTTAGAGGTTTCAATAGAACAGGTGCTGGGGCTCAAGCAAGAAGTAAGACACACACGTTTCCGGTGAGCTTTGCACCAACCACCTCTGCTAGCTGTTCAGATAAGCTGTCAGAAAACACTCCTAGGTGCTTTAGGGGTTTCTGCCCCTCTGACCTCATCAAAAGAAGGAACTGGGCTGGGAGGGCTGCAAGCCAGTCTCATTTCCCTCTGACCAGCAGCCTGAGACAGGGGTTGATGGGTCCATTCACTTATCAGTGTAAAGGGGAAGTGGCTTGCTTACTGGGTTCATCTTAATTTATCGGGTTGATTTTAATAATGTCAAAAACTGTTCCTGCCTTTAGCTGACTCCCTTCTAAGAAGGCCAGGCCAGGCAAGTGCAGCTTACCTGGAGGTTCCAGCTGGTACCAGAGCTGGCAGCCGAGTCCACCACGGCCACCCGCTCCTCACACACTCCCCACTCCTAGTCTGAAAGGTAAAATCATAAAGCTTCGTTATCTTCATTCATTTCGTGCCTCCAACCAAAAGCAACAGGGCAAGTGATGTGCAACAAACTTTCCCAG